TACATTTTCCTCAGTCATATATCTTCCAGGTACCAAGGCATATAGGTGGAACAGATTATATATGACATTTTCATTCTGCTCGTCACATACAAAAAACAGTGGAGCAGACAGCCTGTGAGAACACTGAGTATGCAACACGCCTTCTCCGCCCTGCCTTACCCCGCTGCTGCTTCCAAGGTGAATTGTGAAGGGAAACTCAAAATTAAAGCCTCTTTCTCACTGCATGTAACTTTCACGTCAGCCCTCAGCAGAATATTGAGCTGAACTTACCTCATTACCACAGTCAGAAGCTCCGGGAGAGCCCTGCACGCATTAGGCGTTCGCCAACCAGCCCCTGCGTGCAAGCGTCATCTGAGTCCTCGTCAACAAAAGTTCAGAAGTCTGCAAACCCTGCTAAGGTGGCTAAAGGATTCCCCTTGGGAGAAAGTGCATCGTACTGTCAGGAGACATCTGCTCCTACAGAACTCAGCCAGAGGCCTCTTACTGATTCAGTGTAGCCGCACTATCTCCCAAAACTATCCTCAACATAAATGTGTTGAAGATTTCAGTAAGCCAGATTTTCCATGTGCCAGTTAGCGTTCTCCAAACAAGGTTGACTTGGCAGCCTAAGCACAATACAAAAATAACAGGGACAAAAACTCTCCCAGGTTTATAGCGAGCATTACCTCCCATTAAAAATGCTTTTAGAAGGCAACCTTGAATACTCCAGAACTGGAATCTGTCAATGCATCACTCCCCCTCTTAACCAGCATTCAATAAGTGGTGACTCTCCCACTCCTCCGCAGCATTGCACAAATAGCTGTGCAAAGAGGAGCGGCGTTAGCCTAAGGTAGTCCACCAGCTGCAGCCTGCGTGTTTTTAAAGGTCTGTTGAAGCAGCACTAAGAAAGCAACACATTACATAGGTCACGGAGAGTAACACGTTTTTAATCTTCCCTTCGTGCAGCAGTTGGGAAAATGCATGTTTTGGCTCTGTATCAATTCTCACTTTTATCCTATCTGAACCTCATAATTCTAGGAAAGGACACAATAATGATTCCCTTTTCAATTTCCCTTATTCTGTTTCAGTGGGTGGAGGGACATAGCACCAGTCCCAATGCATTTATCAAGCATCTGATTTGCTATAGTTTGTGTTTTCCCAAGAGCTCTTCAGTCAGATGTTACGTGAAAATCATGCCAGCAACAAAGTTTGAAACAAGTGAATCATAACGTCTAAAAGGCCAATAAAAAGAACCTCACATTTTAAACAATACTCATGATTTTTAAGCCCATGATTACATGCCACGAGTTCAAAATATCTGGGGGATTTGCCTTATGATTCTTGAACATTTGTGCTGGAGACACTGGCAGTGCTGGACAGATCCTAGGAGCCTCTCTGAGCAGAAATAACGTATGGCAGGCCGGTCACGTCTTAAGAGAAATTTCTGCGACTCCAACAGGACTGCTTTAAATTTCAGTCTGCCTTCATAACAGAGTGCAGCAACCTACTAAACAGCAACAGATCTCATTAAGTGACAGGTGACGTGTTTCAGTGATCAAAGCCTAGATTCAACGGTAGGAGCCCATGAGTCACGTCAACTTGCCATTCCAACTGCTCCTCGGATGACTTCCGAAGCAATACATCCCTGCACGTTTGCTGTACCCAGCTCAGCCTGCAGCTCCAACACTTTACTCCCAAGTAGAAGTCCAGCTGAAAGATGATTTTCAGAGTGCCATTAAAACATTTAGTGACAGAAATATTCTACTGACGCTGAGGATCCTGAAATTTTTTAAGCTCATGCTACCAACAAACCGGGTTTTGACAGACTAGTCAGATGTATGGAAGATGCACAGGCTCTGGGTCCATGGGAGCAAATCGCTGCACGCACAAACCTCCTGGGGTCAAGCCTGTGGCCGCACCGAGTGCTTTGCAAGCAGAGTGCTGAGCGCTTTGATGGTGCAGAGCCCTCAGTCTGCTGAAGAAACCCCCAGAGTGCAAGATTCAGCTGAGAAAGAGAAAGAAGATCAGGAAAAAGGAGTGATTGAAGACACATCTAAGATCTTCACCATAAAACCACTTGTGCTCATTTGTTTGCTGAAGGTTAAGAGGGAGAAAACATTCCTGAGCCAGGAAAACTGCCAGTTGTTATTTTAATACTTACTTACCCAACTCAGTGTTTCTCCGCAATCCGCAAACAAGAAAACCAGAGTATCTAGGAGCATAAAACTACTTATTTTATACACTTGGGAACATAATCTAAGGAAGGGTTGAAGAGCTTCACTATCGGATTCTTTAGTAAACAAAATTTAAAGTACTGGTATTCAAACTGTTTAGGCCCTTGGGAATGCCAATGGAGTTTCACATTTTAGGTATTTGGCCATGGTTTGGCTGCGCAGACTCTTCTGGCTCTCCAGCGACACCACAGCGTCCTGAAATTTTATTCTTGGAGATCAGGAGTTACAGCCCAGTGGGACAAACTGGCTATCGACGATCAAAAAGGCAAACACATCTGAAAGATGTGCTAAGGTTTCCCTTCCTCTGCAGGCAGAATTTATGACCATTCAGGGTACAGTTACTCACTCCTCCACAGCACAACTCGGACTGTTTGCTCAAACCCCAAACTGCTCAAATCTTCTGATACACGCCAGTGTCCATTCCTGCGTTTACAGCTATTGAGAGAGAAGGCGCACACTGTTATGCATTAGCTTCCCGAAATAGCTAACTACCAGTCTGGGTGGCTGACTGGGCTAAACAAATTGCAACCCAAGACTCCTTCCTTAGCCTCCCCCACCCCACCCCCTATTAAAAAAAAAAATAAAATTATGTTCATATTAGAAACTATCAATTATGAACAAAATAGTACATCCAGTTGAGAGCCAGCTATTCAGCAGACTTTTTATAAACAAATCCTGCTGCTGAGAAAGCACCAGTGCTTGTGTAACCACGCACCAGTCCAGCAAGCGCGGCTCTGCTTGTGGCAGAGTGGTCAGTGTTTCTACCCCAAAGGCAAAGACGACTTTCAGTCACTCCCCTTTGCACATTCAGGACTTCATAAGACAGGAAAACAGGCTTGGTAACATCTCCTCACGCGTTGTTTTGTGGCCTGCTGGAGACCACTTTCCCTCAGAGCCGGCGCTGCTGTATTTTTTCGGGGATCAGCTGAGGCTCCGAGAGAGGTGCTACTGCTGATCCGCTCTCGGGATGAGCTGGACTCAGGAGCTTAAGTCTTCTGCTCTTGACATCCATCAATCTTCTGTTAAGATCAGAAATGGGCCCCACAGAAAAGAGGGACATGAATGTTTGACTGACCCAAGGTCCTAATTCACAACAAATAATGTCACATATTTAATAAGACGACAGTGGGCTCATCTCTAATGAGCATATAGGATTTTCCTACTGAATGCAGGCATCAACCTAGAAATTGGAACAAATTAAATGCAAAATTTAATGCTACACTGAAGGAAACTGAATAAAGACAAACATACAACATTTGTATGTGTACAGCCTCTGTTGACAATCTTCATTTTGTGAAGTTGAAAGCTTATATATTTTCCTTTCTACCGAAAGGAAATCTAGGGCCCAAAGTCCTAGCCAGAGGCAAAGTGACTTTAAACTATAGGCTTTCTGTTCACTTGCTATTTCAGAAAAGCTTCTGAGAAACTTTTGAGTAAAACACACTCTTTAAAGCATTCTGTATTTCCCTACTTGTAGTTTGTGCTTTCCACGCTGCGAACCTGAATTTTCAGCAGCCCACCAGAAAGGGCAGCTCAGGGAGCCAAACCCGCAGCCCAGACTGACAAACCTACGGCTCCTCCTGGCTAAGCTCACACCCGTATGGAAGGAAGGTCTCTCCTACGAGCAAAAACCATTGATAAGAAAAGCTCTGCCTCGAGCAGGCACCGGTGCACACAGCAACCACATGATCGAAACTGGCAGTAACTACAAAAAAAAAAGCACACCTAATATAGATCTGGCTTCGGTAAGTGTGTAGTGCATTCTCTCTATTCTCCCAACATTTTTTCCAGGAAAGGAGAGACAAAATGTGACGGTCTGCTCTTAAAAGAAAAGCAGATTTAAAAACAGAAAAAGAAAAACCACGGGGAGTGGGGGGAGGCAGGGAGCCACCAAAACCACAAACTCACACACATTCATGTCTCCTAAATAAAGACGTAGAGAAAGAAAATTTCCTCTTTCATTTTTCTAATTCACTTTTTCCTTAAAAAAAAAAAAGACACTCAAAAGAAACACTCATTTCTTTCTCCCCCAAAGTTCAGAATCTTAAAAAAAAAAAAAAAAAGCGCAGCATCCCCCCCAAAAACGACGCAGCTACCTCCACAAAAGAGGACAGACAAACTCGTGATGAAATAGAACGCTAGAGCAGCCTGTCACAGATCTCCGGGAATCTGACCTTGGCCTCCAGACCGGCCTTCCCTTTGGCAACGCACAACGCTGGAGTGCCAGAGGAGGCAGCTTCTAGGTGAAGGTTATTCATGTAAAGAACATCCTCTCTGCCTAACAACGCATCTCTGTCAACTTACTTTTTTCTACAGAAATTACACACACACGCCTTAGTTGTGAGAAATGGCCCGTGCATTCCTTCGGTAGCATGGGGGAAATACGGAGATCCTCTGGAAACCACTGAATTTACGTTAGACTTGCAGGAGGTCATACTGCATTAATGTCATCTTTCACACCCATCGCTGTTTCTCCTGTTTCTACAAGAGCAAAAGCAAGACAAAAATATACGTTAAGACCTTTGTCCTGACGTTCTTCTCATATTGAAATGTCCACCTGGGTCTAGCTGATGGTAAAACAAAGCATCTTTTATTCTTCTGTTCATATGTAAGCATGGTTATTCTCTAACCTGCCACCTGGAAGTTTCTGGCCTTTTCTATAGAGAATAATTTTTCACCTGTACTTTGAACAGAGTTATTACCTTATAGAAAGAAGTATGACGTGTCTTTTGGCAATGTAAGTTATTTTTTCTTGTACCTTTTCTGCTTTTGAAAAAATGAGTCAAGTTTTATTTTTAATCACGCTTTTATTACCTTTTTCCAAAAACAAGCAAAAACCCCTCCAACAAATCACATCCTATACTGCTATATTTACACTGTAGACTTCTTAATCTCTTATGTAAATACACATATTCTGAAGTAATCTGTCTGTAGAAAAGAATGCTATTTTTAGCATTCTGATGATGGATAAATCTTCATTATCAATGTAATGCTCTAAGAGAAAAGAAAATCAATTTTCAGAGTTGTCAAATATCAAGATAAGCATACAGATTAAGTCTATTCAAGTTATTTGAAACAAAAAGAAACCTCAAATGTTACAGTAACTTAAAATAGTGTACTATACCACACACATAACATGGCCAAAACTCATTATTTTTGATGGACATTAGTTATCACAGTTGTTTTTCAAAGCAGGAATAAAAAATTTTTTAAAAAGTTTCAAACATGCTATTTGGAATATTCACTTCTTCTTGGCAATTAATTTATCTTCATAGTTGATTGGGATTATGCCACTGCATTCTTCTGTCTTTGATACAGGATGCTTTACAAAAGCACGTCTAATTACATCAATATCACGTCCTAAATGATCCATCATGGTCGATACAATCGAAGGTGGGCCCTCTAAGTCTATCAAAAAATACCTGCAATGAGAAACATACACACAATAAAAAAAAAAAAATACCTGTACTGCAACAACTTTAATTCAAGTAACTGTTCTGTGGGATTTCTTAAATGAAACTTTCTAATTATTTCTTACATTTTGGTACCAGAATTGTTTTAAATAAAAGCTCAGTATTATCTTGATTTCAAACAAGAAAAAATCAATTGAAGCAGGCTCAGCCTGAACTTTTCTTTGTTGTACAGCACTGCTTACCCAAGGAGATTAAAAGAGATCTTACTCTTCTTGTACCTATTCGATTGATTTCCACACCTTGATTTGAATAGTCTTAAAAAAAAAAAAAAAAAAAAAAGGTAGGGTGGCACATTCATTTCAGTTACAACACGCATTCTCCTTCTTCGAATTCACAGCATTGTTTCTTTGGGGTACAGATGCCAGTGTGAAACATCTCAAGCTTACATACATACAGGCACATTTCTTCCTGGAAAGTTCTGCTTTGGAGCTGAATGGAAATGAAAACAAACAGCAAAAGAAACCCAAGGAGATGGACTTATCCCAAATTAGGCACATCTCTAACGTGCACACGTCTTCAATTTTCAATCTGAGGGCGGAAGCCGAAGCCGCGTACAGGCAATGCCCCCTTGCGCAGCTGGCACCTGACAAGCATACTGCCGTGCTGACCTTGGCGGGACCGAAACGGTCTTACTTCCACACGTGCGCAGCGCGTATAAAATGCACAGCTCCAGGTAAGCACTTCGTGTCCACCACACAGCCATCTTTGACATCTATAAAGAAAAAGCCAACCGCCTACCTACGGGAAGGAGATCGTTGCTCCCCATTAATATCTCAGGTCACCAAGGTCACCTCTGCAATAAACTCCTTTGCTGAAGAACTGAACCTTCTTCATGAGCTCAGCTATGATTTTGCAAGAGGCTTTTAAAACTCCAGTACACCCAAACAAGCAAAAGAGGCCTACTGCACTTCACAAGCTGCATTTCAGACAAGGGACACAGCTGTGCACTGTGCATTAAGTTAATCTCAGATATGCCAATTCAGAACCCATCTCTTACCATGAGATGTACCTTAAATTCATTAGCAACATTATGTCTGTTGCTCCTGCAAGTTATGAGCGACCTAGTGCCAGCCACCATACTAATGCAAAAAGTGAGTGAGCCATGTCACTGGCCATCCTTCCTCCCTTGAAATGCCATGAATGAACCAGCATTGTCGATGGAGCTGTAACCAGAACACTTTTTAATCACTTTGTCTGCATTTTGGATGGCACTAACTATAGTACAGCAACAAGACACCGCAACTGTCTCAGAAATCCTACTGAAGAGAACTAAGCACTCACCTCATTTCCAAGACTAGCAGTAATTTAAAGGCTAAATGTACAGCACAGCACTTCCCACCTAGCTATTTCATTTTAATCTTTATGCATCCTCTTATTAAAGCTCCCCTTTCCTCCTAGTCCACTCAAGCACACCTCCCCATGAAGCATCGGTATAACCTGAAAGCAATGTCCCTTAAATGAAGTCATATTACCCAAGCAGGAACAAGCGTCCCAGTTTGATTTAAAAAACTGTACCTAACAGAGAGGAATTCGTTCTGCAAGAGGAATGGATTCTTACTAAGTCAACTACAGCGGGAACATCACACTTCACAGTCCACCTTCATAAGGGTAACCTTGAACGGTCATTCCCCAAGACCAGAAGCTGAACTCAGAGCCTGAACAGGAAATACGGGAGGATGGGGTCACGAACAACAGACGCTCGTGTTCTTCATCCTGCATGGCGTTCGGTTTCATCCAACTAAATGTGTTACTTCAAAAACATTACCCGTAGAGCAGACCCGTCGGGCCAGAAATGACTCAAGCAGCGTGTGCTGGATTACTGCACAGGGGTGGAACCCACCTGTGGAAAACACAGTGAAGAAACTTCTCCTTAGCCAGACATCCTAACCCTGAAAATCTTAATAGCCACAATCCAGCTCTGAAATCTTTTTTAGAAAGACTAGACTGAAGCACTGAATTCTCGTATGTGAGGGGTCTGATGGAAAAAAATCTCCCTGCAGTCTGTACTGAAGCAACGAGTCCTCCAGAAGAGATGCCCAGCTGGTGCGGGCTGTGGCCGAGCGTCACTGAAGCCAAGGGACCAGTGCCAGGTCACGTCAGCGAAGGTGCTGCTCCTCCGACTGCAGCGGGGCTACCGAGAGCTACAGGAATAACTTGCCTCAAAAAGGATTTGGAGGAACTCTGGTGGGCTCAGTCCTCCTCACAAATCCTCACAGGCTTCAATGGGAACAGGATTTGGCTTAATATATTTGGAAAACTGAACTGCCTGCCATTTTCTGGTCTCCAGAATTAAAGAGATGTCACCCGGTTAAAAGTTTTAAGCAGAGAAACAGTTTTTAAGCTTGGACAACTTGTTAGAAATACCGCACAGCAACATCTGAGGGACGCACACCCCTTAAAAAGGGGAAGTCGTATTTTCTGTTAAAGCCATTAAAAGCCACTGGTAAATTTACCAGATGACACTTAACTCTTCTCCTTGGCAAAAAGCCTTCCAAATCCTCTCACAGTTGCAACTAACAGAAAGGAGGATGGGGGGAGAAATTCTAGCCGGTGATCCACCACCATCACTTTCATGCCCCCTTCCCTTAGCAAGACCATTCGTTCGTATCGCAAACCGTGCTCCTTGCCGCACCATTTTAGCCCCACCATTTCTCCAGAATTTAATTTCATTTCTGCTTGCAAGTTGTATGCTGCTTTTCATTGTGTTCCTAAAACGGCAATACGTTTTTTTTTTTTTTTTTTCTCCAAAGGCTGCTTTGCAACTTTGTGCTTTCTCTCACATTAGCAAAGGGTGGAAATTTCCACTGACGCACTGTTGATAACTGAAGGAGAAGGGGGGGATGGGAGGATGAGCTGTTACAGCATATCTTTATGACTCCTTGCAGAATAGGTATTTTATCTGAGGATACAAAACTGCAGTAACTGGGGACAATGCGAGTTTTTAAAAACAACCACCACTCTTCAACGTTAACAAGCAACGATTGCCTTCCTCTGCCAAAAAAGAGAGAAGGAAAAGAGGGTGAGCGTAAAAAAAATATTATTTCTTCATTAAAGAGAAGAAACTACCAGCTACAAAAGCAATAACCAAACACAATTGACAATGCAATCCCTGAGGAGATCTGGAACCCTTTCCCCCCAGATATACACATTTAAATCAGCTGTCACGAGGCCATGGGTTTTTTTTAACCCAGCCTCAATAAGGCATGCAGCAACCTTAATTTCAGGCAGTGATCTATGACCCGATACACACCGCCGTAGCTACTGTTTGTGTAGTAAACAAAACCAAATCCCAGTGAGACTTAAAGACAGGGAAAAATACAGGAATGCAGGAGGGAAACCACCTCATCATTGCAAGCAAAAATGCAAAAGCATTTAGGCTCTCTAGGAGTCAGCCGAGTCATCACGGGAGAAATGCAGGAAAATTCCACTGATTCACTACAAGACCACAGTTATTTTTGTCATCCTGCTCGACTGTAAATAGAAGGATGATTTAAATACAGGAGAGCAGACTGAAACATATTACAACAATGCATTAACTGAAAAAAAGAATTAAAAAAAATCATATTATCTCAAACAAAGGAGAATATGCCTTTGCATATGGGGGGGGGGGAGAAAAAAGCGAGGTTTCATTTATTCTTTTTAACATCTTCAAGGCAGAAATTGTTTGAACCTTGAGTCCTAAGGATACTCAAATATTTTGCTTCCAAGTGGACAGTATAGAACTACAAAGAACACTGAAAAGCACCTGGATCACAACTCACTTTTGAATCCTCCTAGAATACAACTCTGTCAGCCTGGCGAGCCAAGGGAAAAGCACACGTACGGTGGACTTGGAAGAGGCTGTGTGGTCCCGTGGTTGTGCCCAGAAAAATGTCTGTATGCTTAAATTTCTCCTTTACATAGCGGCAGTAAGTCTGTGTAAGCTTCCCCAGCGGGGAGGTGGAAGATAAAAAGGAAAGAAGATGTTCTGACAAACAGGTAGAGGTGAAGCATCGAACAGGGAAACAGGAAAACGCCTGGAGGAAAGCAAGCTGTGGCACTCGCGTGAGAGCAGCTGGACATTTGTTCTCATTAAGGTAATCCTATAAAAATGAAATTGTGTTGCTACCTGAATGATGACTTCATCTTTGGGACCACTGCATTGCTCTGAAGAGAGAGAGTTTGCTTTTCTTCTGAACTCTGGTGGTAGCTACCCTTCCTTAGCAGCGCAGGCAGGCAAGTTCATGCTCATAAGGATTATCATTTTGTAGCTGGAAGGACTAGTACCTGTGTTACTTTTAGCTTTTAAAAAACAGGTATGGAATAGATGGACATCCCTTGAAAATCACAAGGACAGCAACTGGGAAGGACCAGATCAAAACCAAAAGATGGTATCTTAGTAACTAGACTGTGCCACAGCAATGACGCAAATAATCCATAATGAGCAGTACTTTGGGGAAAAATACATTTTACCATCCAGAGTCTTCAGAAATTTCATTTGCCAAATTCTATACATAGACGCCTGTTATTAAGCTAATTAAATAATGGAAAGACATTTTGCAGCACTGCAGAAAAATATAAAAAATACTGTTAAACTGCAAAAGAGAAACCAGCCTGACATATTTGGAGTATCTGAAAAGTCCTGCTCACTGGGCAGCATTTGAAAAGTTTGCAAAGTTGTTATAAGCAGGGCTGAAGTGACTAAGAGGGTATTAATTCTACTTGTGTCACTTCTCTGCCTTCCGTATAATTCACAGCTTAAAATCCACCAAAATGGTGACTGATTCCCATCCCACCAAGCCCACTATTTAAGAGTGGCCATCACATTTAATCAATGTGCTTGCACAAGGATGCTACAGAATTTAGCGCATCAGAAAATGACACTGGCGTCTCAACGTCACCAATTACTGCACCATGCCATTTCTTCTGAAAAGCACCGAAGTTGCAAATTGCACTCCCACAGATAAGGT